TTTCGCAATACAGATTTAACACTTAATCTTTAAGCATTGTGGAAACATTCAGGTTTTTGCTTTCTTGTACATTTACTTTTTTCAAGTAAATTCTCGCATGTGCAACGACAAAGTGTCTGATTAATTTCTTTCAAACATCATGACGGGTTTGGAAACTGAACTCTCTTGAAGTCTGGAGCATTTTGCCTTTTATTTTAATATTGGTTTCCGATCAAAGTAAGCTATGTACCAAGAGCGAAACTAAAAATCACCATGGTAATCAGCATAGGTAATCAAATACATAATTCTTGCGTTTCTACTTGTAAATATTAGAATGCATTTTTCATCAGTTAGGTACCTCGCTGTTAACAGTATTTTTGGCCGTAATCCCAATAATAACTCACGAGGTTCGGCCAACTTAAGGAGATTTAGGTTAGTTTTAATTACGTATTTTAAGATAAAAATGTCAAATATTCTTTATAATAAAAATATACTAATAAACAATAAATTAAATAAAAAGTAGTTATACTGATATGCTAAACAGTATGAAAATATATCAATAATATATTATACCTTATTTGGAGAACAATAGAACACTAGCTATAGGCTTGGACTGCTGTTGTTGAGGTAAATTTCCTATTTCTTTTCCCTAATTTTTCTTAAAGCGTATTTTTATCAAATAAAACCCACTTTTACTGTGTTGCACCCCAGTGGCACAGCAATATGTTTGTGGACCTACAACGCTAGAATCTGAGTTATGAGACCAGTGGTGGGCAGAACACAGATAGCCCATTCTGTTGCTTTGTGCTTAGTTTCAAACAAACAAACTTACTGTGTAACATTAGAGGAGAGTAACATGTGTGACAATTTATGTGAAACTGTGTCGCGTAAGTAGCAGTAGTTTTACTACAGTACAAACAAAAACTAATGTTTATGAAGATACAAAAATAATAAGTAAGAAAATAAAATGATACATGAACTGTCCATGAAAATATAACAGCGTTAAAACTAATACAAAGAGAAAAAAAAACATGCTAAACAAACAACAACAAAAACACATAGAGCTGGCTACAGGAAGTAATAAATAAAGTTCAACCTTCTGTAAAAGCTGAAACAGAAACACAACTAAGCCTCTAGAAAGTTTAATAAAAATAATAATATTTTAAAAAGAAAATTACACAACTCATTAACATAGCTAAGGGAGTAATCAATAAAAAGTAATGTAAGAAAACTAATGACTTTATATCATATTTGACGGATTTACTATTATATATCTATTTTAATATCGATGTTTGTTTATGTTAAATTTATATTTAGAAACGTACATAACTTATACTGTAAACAAGCAGAAGTAATGCAATGCAATGAGAAAAGCGCGTATTGTTACAGAAGTTTTTTTATTTTTGTTATTTAAAATGTTTTCTATTATTTAAACCAGCCCCCCCCCCCCACAGTGACACAGCGGTATGTCTGCGGACTTACAACGCTACAAACCGGGTTTCGATATCCGTGGTATGCAGAGCACAGATAGCCCATTATGTAGCTTCGTGCTTCACTTCAAACAAACAAAACAAATTTAAACCAGACATGTACAACGTACGGACCGCGGCCGCGTCCGACCTGCGAGGTGGTCGTATCCGGCCAGCGCTCTGGAGGAAGTTGCACATGCTCTGTCCATGCTAATTCTTTGAAAAGTGAAAGTAATAAAATACCTTTGTGTGTGTTGTCTGAGTAAAGTAACCTTTCTGTATTTTAATATATGTGTGTGTTGTCTGTAGAAGCGTCTGTGTAAAGTAACCTTTCTGTATTTTAATATGTGTGTGTTGTCTGTAGAAGCGTCTGTGTAAAGTAACCTTTCTGTATTTTAATATGTGTGTGTGTTGTCTGTAGAAGCGTCTGTGTAAAGTAACGTTTGTGTATTTTAATATGTGTGTGTTGTCTGTAGAAGCGTCTGTGTAAAGTAACGTTTGTGTATTTTAATATGTGTGTGTTTGTGTAGGAGCGTCTGTGTAAAGTAACCTTTGTGTATTTTAATATGTGTGTGTTGTCTGTAGGAGCGTCTGTGTAAAGTAACCTTTG